TCCCATGTTCTACTCATTAAACAATTCATAATTTATATTCTCCACTTGAATCCAAATGCAAAACCCGAAACCTTCAACGAATGGCCAAGTAACCTTTTCCACCTTCATCCCACTGCCCATACCAGAGAAATAGAACATATTCTATTATTGCTGTCGAAGAGATTCCTATATTTTCGGATTTCAACTACTTTATACAATGTTAACAATGAGCCATAGTATTCTGCTCGTAATTATTATGGAAGCTCTTTAAAGTAATGTTTCAACACTTTCCTTGACAAATAACCTCTCTATGCTGTCATTATTGCTGCTCGAATCTATATTAATCTCAAAATATCATTACATCTTGTAAAAGGCAATCTTAGAATTACCCCAATAGTGAATTGTACTTGTAATTTAACAATCCCTCCTCAAATCTTAATTGGAAAGGATTTGCTACAATATTGTACTTCTAATTGAACTCACTAACAGTTTTTCCATATTTATCTTAAAACATAATAATATATTTAACATAATCAATAATCATTTTTTTAATCATTCAATCACTAATCCAATATACAATTCAAATTTCATATTCTTAAGATCTTCTTGTCCTTCTCTATAAACCTCAAACTCTGTCTTATAGGTTCTCTTACCTCCCCATTCTTCTGGTTTTATCTTATGCAAAGAGCTCCAAGTTTGTTTAACAATCTCAGGTATAGGTCCTGGTCCTCCTTAAAATTTGGCATAACTTGAATCTTCCACCTAATAGACTTCCATCCCTTCAGGAATAGCACCTACTTCTGTTACCACTTCACCAACTAATATATAATAGTTGAATTGGGATCTATCTTAGAAATCCTTGAAATCATAATATAGACAATAGGTTCTTCCTGGATATGCTCTATTTGGGATACTATCATTCAGTTTTTTTGAAAAGAATTCCTTATAAGTTAAGCTAAAAGTATTGTTCTCTTGATCTGACTCCTTTGCTAAGTATATTCTCCTTCTTAAACCTACAACTGTGAATTTAGGTATTTGAACAATCTCTTTTTGAGGAATAGGATTCATTGTTAAAAATATTTGTGTTGATTATTGAATATATTGAAGATTTAAATTTAATTAAATGCGTAAAGAGATTGAATTCTGATATAAAAATGACACTATTTAATTTTATAATAATAATTTAAATAATTCTCATTTTTATAAGATTTTTCTATGAGAATTGAATTGTTCTCTATCCTATACTTGACTGTGTCTTTCTGTATAAAAATTGTTTCGCTTGCTAGCTTAATGGATTATAAAATATATATATTACAAACTTCCTCTTCTTAAGGTTCCTCATTTAATCCTTATAAGTTTAGTTTAAAATCAAACTTTTTCTTCAATGTTTATTATGCAAATTAAATATATTTTTTAACAATTTCATCAGTCTTCTATGTGGTTTATTTATTGATATGTTATGATTTAGTGCCTAAGTCACTGATTATTTTTTTAGAATTTGATGATTTTGCTTTAGTGCTTACTAATTTTTGATTTTATTATGAATTATATTATGATGGAATCATATATTTAAATTCAACTTTTTATTTACTTTCAACAGTATTCAATCCCTTTATTTAATCATGTATCTTAAGCATAAGATCCTCAGAAATCGGAGGAGGTCTTTTATAAGTTCTATCTGTTAAACAACCTCCTTTGGCAATTTTATCAATTTAATTAGTTGTAATTTTCTTGGGCAAAGGTTAATATACTTTTTTAAGTGCTTCTTGTTTAGTTGATGTACTACTATGCATACTCCCATTATTATTATTATGATCTTATCTAATACTTTTTTATTAACCTTAAAATCCTTAAACAGAAGTACTCATAGGTAACAAATCGGATGAGACTGTATTTCTCAATTGTTTCATCTTCTAATATTCCTTAAGCATTCTCTATATCGTTTATGAATCACTCTACATTCTTGTCAATTTAGGTTTTGCATCAAAATCATTGAATTGTTCAACCCCATTTCCCAATTCTAAAGGTTCTTCCTTATTTGATTTAATATTCGATAAAATTTTAGATTCGCTTTTAGAATTAGTCCCTATAATAGACTTTGTTATACCTTTCTTATAGCTATCTGGTTATTTGCGTTGTTTAATGCTCTTTGAATATGTGGATTATTTCTTATGTTTTCCATATAATTGATTCACTTGCATAATGCAATCTTTCAGTGTGATGTCAGACTATTCTGATCTATTTAATTGTTAAAGGTTTTTGATAATCTGCAATCCTTTTAAATCAAGACCTTATTTAGTAGTTTCTTAAGTGCCTTCCTCATAAATGTCATGTTCTTGTGTTTCGAAACTGATATTCTCTGTCAATTTTGAATTCAACACTTGCCGACTAATTACTTATTACTGACTTTATTCGTGATCCTTTTAATAAAATAATTTATCATATCGATTGTTTCTCTTATTCATGATCTTATGAGCATCTATCACACATAAATTTGGATGCATATGCTTGTAATTCTGAGTATAAAACTCTGTAAGGATATCAACACGTGGCTTAACTTCCTCTAAGCTGTAGAATCTTGTAATATAACATTACCAACACCATATACCTTTTCAAATATTCCATCCGCTCATCTAAGATTACATAATCCTTAAAATATATTACATGAGGGGCGTGAGGAATCTATGCAATTATTTCGTTGATAGGCTTTGCAAAGTAGAAATTAAAAGCTTCAAAGTATTTCTCTTGCAAGTAATCTCTCATCTTTCTTCTTGATCCATTTTTGCATAAATCACAACTCTTCATTTTATTAAATAATTCATATAAAATCAAGACCTTCTGAATTAATTTTTGAAATAAGCTGAAACATTATATATATCATTTTTATAGCAATTACATTTCTAACTTTTTATTATCCTATGCTATCACTCGAATCTAACATCATTTATTAATGATTTACCCTATCCTCCAGATCCTTAATCTCCTCTTCATAATCGACATCACTTAATAATCCTCTCAATTTTGAATTCTCTTCTTCCAAAAGTTTAATCTATTTAATAATACTAATTCTAATACTTTTTCTATTACTTTATCTCTATTATCATTTAACTAATGTCTCTTGCTTACTTTCTCATCATAGTTTGCTGTATCATATTTAAATCTATATTAAACTTCTTCATGTTTCAATTTTTAATATGTAATTTAATGTTATTACACTTCTAACTATAATTATTCAATATTTTAATCAATATTCTATCCTTCTTAAATCTATTAATTTAACTTTTCATTCTCAATTATTAATCCAGTAATCTTATCTTCTAGATCAACTATTAAATTTTCTATCTTGTTTTCTTAATTTATTTACTATAATTCATTCAATTTCTAACAATCAAATTATTCAAATTATTATAATAAATTGTCATATTGACTCTCTAATTCCTCTAATTTTTTAGATTAATGATCTTTCTCTATTCTCAGTTATTCAACATCACTTATTTTTAATAATTGTTAATTATCTTAATTTAATTTTTCGTTTAATTTTGAAAGCATTAAAATTTTGTTTTCTAATTCTTTAATGAATTGAGTACTATTTCCTCTTTAAATATTAGATTCTAATTAAAATATTTATTATTATAATGCATGATTCTAATTCTTCAAATTTTGAACATCTGATTCTAATTTTTGAGTTGTTGTATGAGATACATTTTAATTAAAAGGTTATTGAGAAACTCCTCTAAATTATATATTATGTTTTGTAATTGGAGAATTAGGTTAAAAGTGCTTCTAACTATAGTTTTTCTATAATGGTGAAGTGATCTGTTGTTATTATTATTATTATTATATTTGAAATTAAGTATTTCTACGAAGTGGTGCAGGACTCATGAAAATTGCATTATTCTCATTAAGTCTACTTGCATTATTAATACTAGGTTAATCCATTGGTTGATTTTACTATTTAACCTTGAATTGAACATTATAATTTTGATTATTCTTATAATCACTATTGAGTGTAATAGCAGTTTTGAATTATTTATGTTTAGGTGTTGTACCACAATTATCTAAATCTTAATTAAAATCAATTTAAGATAATGGTTGTCTTGTTGCTTTAATTTGTGTATTCATAACTGTTAAATTATATATTTATATAAACAAAATTGTTAGTAGCATATCAACCAAATGATTGATCTAATGCTTCTTTTTTTTTGGTCAATTCTTAAACTTATTATTCTAATTATTGTATTCTTTAAATTAATTGTTTCTTTTCTTCTAAAAAGTGTTTTCTATCTTCATGAAATTACTTTTTTTCTTCTTCATATCGTTTGAAGCGTTCACGTACTTTTTGTTGTATTTACTATAACTACATTTTAAATTGATTTGAAGGACCAAAATCAGAAGTTTAACTTGAGATGGATTAGCATAATAAGAATTCCTTATGCTCAGTATTTTATTTGCGTGCAATTGAAATATCACTTTTTTATGGAGTTACTGAAATTCTAGCTATATTATTTATGCTAGGTTCATTCAAACTCTTTCGACTCTATATAGTTTTTGTAATAGAGGGTGATTTATTCTACATGTATGAATTTAGTAGAGTTTGGAATTATTTGAGTCGATTATCCTAATTATTCAATCTAACACAAGGATTGCTTTATTATTCTCGACATTGAATCTTATTTACCGCACGTTTAATATTCTATGGAGATAAACAATGATAAATAGATCCTGTCTTAGGTTACAATTACATAAAAAAATATTAATTATCATATTGATAATTCCTACACTCTATTCAACATTATATATTTAATAACTATAATACAATCAAATCAAAAATAAAATTCCATCATCTTCTATGAAACTATTTCAGTTTCTTTAAATATCTAATCAGGACTTTTTGCATACTCTTTCCAAATCTCCAATGTAATTTCTTTATTCAAACTAACTCTCTAAAAAGCTGCAATAGCTTCATGATTAGCAAAAAATAGCTGACTAATTTTTCACTATTTATCATATTAATCAAAGCCTCATGTTGATTTTGGTGCCACCCCAACTTAACCAATTACCGAAAAAATCTAAATTATAACATATTTTAAATCTACATCTGGTTATACAAGCTTATTACTTATTGATAATTGATCAATTTTATAAAAATAAGTTTCAGGATGATTTCTTAAATAATAAACTACTCTATATTTATTAAATAGGCTTGTCTAATCATCCAAAATATTTTTTATTGAGCTCTTATCTAATTTTTCAAACGGATCAGCAGGTTCTCTAGTTCCAAGATATTTCCATCCATATAAATGCCCTAATTTGTGCCTTTTCCAAACCAATAATCAACTGTCTTAACAGCTTCATGTTTACAAAATCAAATTGTTTATTAACATTAATAATTAAGATGAGAAATTAAGTGTTAATTGGTTCTAAGCTTAAATCTGCCTACCCTAAGGCATAAGCTATCATGTAAATATAAAAATGATTTATCATCATTTTTATTCAAATGATGAAAACCATATCAAGAGTTAAACAGCATCATTATTTTTGATGGTTCTCAATTCAAAATTGCTTTATATAACTGTAATCTACTGAAGAAGTAGTATTGATAATGATTTCATAAAATTATTGTGGTAAGTTTTCCATTATTATTAATACAAATTATTATCAATAATTATATCTTCTCATATTCAACAAACTTCTTGACTTTGCATCCTATAGTTCATCTTTTAGAGATCTTAATAACATTATTCGTTATTAAAATTATTATTCTTCAATCCTTATAACTCTTTCCAGCTCTTAAGAGATCTAAATATAATTTTTTTATTTATTTACCTCCTCTTTTTGATTTTTTGTCGATTCACTAAATAATTATGATTATTCTAAATTTCTACTTAACATATCAGCTTCAATTAAAGCCTCTTAATGAGCCTTCTTTACATGATCTAAATCTAATTTTAATTTTGATAATGTTCTATTTAGTTATTGATTTTGAGTTAATAGTTATTAATTAGCCTATTATAATTCATTAATTGCTGAATTATTAAGGAAAGACGAATTTGGTTATTTTTGGCTGATTAAATTCAAACTATTCTGGAATGATGGATTTAGTTATTGTTGGTTGATGTAATTCAAAGCCTCTTAATATTATCTTCTTGTATGTTTCAATTCTTAATTTTTGGAGGCTAATTCATCCTTAATCTTTTTTTATTGTAAAATTTGATTACCTAAGTAAATTAATTTTTAAATGTGTCAGTTTATTTGCTCATTGTAAAAAAGTCTTTAGATATACTATCATACTCCTGATTTATTCTAAATCTATTTAAATTTGATACTATTTTATCTTTTCTTTTAATCCTTTTACTTCTTCATCTAATAATGTTTTCTCGCTAATTAATTTACTAATGACGAGATTCTCATCTGCAATTATTTTATTTGGCTACTTCTATATTTCTTCATTCTCCTCGAGTTCATCCTCCAATTCTTAAACTTATTATTTCAAATTTTCTATCTCCTTAGATTATATCTTCACCATCGCTTGATATTATTCAATCTATGTTTTCAACAATAACTCACTCTCAGACTTTTAATCCTTTAAATCATTATACCTAATAATTAATTATTACAATTACCTTTCTTCTAATTAGGTTAAATGTTGAGAAAGCTCTTTATATTTAATTTCCCTTTCTTTAAAATCCTGTAGCTCCCTTTTTATTTAATTGATCTCTAAATCCTTATCAATCGTTTATTATTCTGAACCTTAATTCATTAAATATAATAATTTTTAATTTCACTATTATACTATTTTCATAATCTAAAATTCATTATCATCAAAAAGATGTTTTTAATATAATGTTTTTATCTTTATTTTATTGATATTTTTATCACATAATTAAATTATTATTAATATAGACTTGAATGATTTTATTAAACATTCTAATTAGTAATTAATATACTTTTTTTGAATAATTAAATTATCACTAATTATTAATGATTCTATTTTGATTATTTTATTAATATTAATATAAGATTGCATTTTTTAAACAATAAAATTTAGATTTAATAAAATTAAATTTTAAATTTATCAATTATATACACAGTAAGTTTAGTTTTGCTTCCTTAAATGAGAAAATAGCATTAGATATAAGTATTTTGAGAGTATATATAATAGTATTAATTATTAAAAAGTAGTGGATTTAATAGCTTTGTTATAAGACAATAAAACCTTCTTTTATTAATTATTCCAAAATAAAATTGAACCAAATATTCATCAAATTACTATAATCTTCCCTCAAATTTGTATGGGAGTAGAAATTTATGAAAAATATTCAAAAATTATACTGTATTTCTTTAGATTGATACTCTCTGCCTAAGTACTAGAATGTATAAAAGCTTGTTATTTATAATGATATTTCAATACTTTAATTAACCTATTACATTTTAAATATATATTTGCCGATAGTATTGGCAAAAACAATCTGTACTCATAGAACCCAGTCGTAATTCTAATTAAATTTCAAAAAAAAAAACCAATTAAAAAGAATAAACTATTAATTTTTATAGGAATCGGCAAACCAATTTTATATGTATTTAACATAGTTATTAGACTTCATATGAATATGCTAATAAATTATATTTCTATTGATGCATAAAACATATTAATGATGTAATTATATTAATAGTTTTTATATTTGTATAGATTGATTATAAAGAATTATTATTTTCATAAGGATTATTTTTATTAAATATAAAATATATATAAATATAAATATTGTATATATATATNTTTCTTCTAATTAGGTTAAATGTTGAGAAAGCTCTTTATATTTAATTTCCCTTTCTTTAAAATCCTGTAGCTCCCTTTTTATTTAATTGATCTCTAAATCCTTATCAATCGTTTATTATTCTGAACCTTAATTCATTAAATATAATAATTTTTAATTTCACTATTATACTATTTTCATAATCTAAAATTCATTATCATCAAAAAGATGTTTTTAATATAATGTTTTTATCTTTATTTTATTGATATTTTTATCACATAATTAAATTATTATTAATATAGACTTGAATGATTTTATTAAACATTCTAATTAGTAATTAATATACTTTTTTTGAATAATTAAATTATCACTAATTATTAATGATTCTATTTTGATTATTTTATTAATATTAATATAAGATTGCATTTTTTAAACAATAAAATTTAGATTTAATAAAATTAAATTTTAAATTTATCAATTATATACACAGTAAGTTTAGTTTTGCTTCCTTAAATGAGAAAATAGCATTAGATATAAGTATTTTGAGAGTATATATAATAGTATTAATTATTAAAAAGTAGTGGATTTAATAGCTTTGTTATAAGACAATAAAACCTTCTTTTATTAATTATTCCAAAATAAAATTGAACCAAATATTCATCAAATTACTATAATCTTCCCTCAAATTTGTATGGGAGTAGAAATTTATGAAAAATATTCAAAAATTATACTGTATTTCTTTAGATTGATACTCTCTGCCTAAGTACTAGAATGTATAAAAGCTTGTTATTTATAATGATATTTCAATACTTTAATTAACCTATTACATTTTAAATATATATTTGCCGATAGTATTGGCAAAAACAATCTGTACTCATAGAACCCAGTCGTAATTCTAATTAAATTTCAAAAAAAAAAACCAATTAAAAAGAATAAACTATTAATTTTTATAGGAATCGGCAAACCAATTTTATATGTATTTAACATAGTTATTAGACTTCATATGAATATGCTAATAAATTATATTTCTATTGATGCATAAAACATATTAATGATGTAATTATATTAATAGTTTTTATATTTGTATAGATTGATTATAAAGAATTATTATTTTCATAAGGATTATTTTTATTAAATATAAAATATATATAAATATAAATATTGTATATATATATATTAATTAAGATATTATCATTTTTATATTTACTCATGATCACTATAGAAAATTACAATAAAGAATAAAATAATAAAATGAGATCAAATTATTAGAATTGCTATTTATTTTACATTTAGAAGTTAGTTAAATTCTATAGTAATTATAATTGTTATTTATAAATATATAATTATAATCCTTAATTTAAAATTCATTTAATTTCATCTAATTAATTTTTGCTCTTAAAGTATTCGATATCCTTTTCTGATAATTAGATCAATCTGCCATAATTATCTACTAAATGATTACCATCCTAATTCATTACATATCCATTTTCATCTACTTAATAAATTATCTCATCTTCCTCATTTTCATTTTCATGTATGATTGACATTTTATCTAAAATTAATGTAATTTTACATCTATCCATATCTTCCTTTGTTAAAATAATCTGCTAATCTTCTTAATTTAAAAATCGAACTGGAGATTCTTTATCCTTTATTTGATTACTACTATTATCTGATTCTATTGTATCATTATACTAATTATCTGGCAGCTTTCTATTTAATAGATATTCATTGACTTATTTATTAAACTATTCGTATTTTTTGATATATGTGTCATAAGTGTCTAATGTAATTTATTATTAAGGCTATTATTATTACTAAGTGCTTTGTAATTTGAATTAATTATCAAAATATGATTTCAATTCAATTATGATTTCTTATTTAATTCCAGAAAAAAGGACAAGCTCACTAGTTTATTGTCCCTATGTTTTCTTTAATTCTTCAATTTCATGTTTTAATTATTTTTTTATTTCCTAATCTTATACTAATTATTAATTTAATGCTTCTATTTAAGCTACAAATGTTTTATTTATTTTTTTTTATTCAACTAATTCCTGTTTAGATTGTTCCAGTTCGGTTTTAACTAATTCAAAATCTTTTCTAGAAAATTCAAACATTTTGAGCATTTCTTCTCTTAATTGTTTTATCTGAGCTTCATTTGAAGTTGAAGATGGAAAAGCTCCAATAGGGATTTATTATAGAGATCTTTATGAATGTTATGGAGTATCATGTTGACTCAATAGTCTGCCAGATTGGAATGCTTTTGGATTTAAATTCTCTTTATCTCTTTCTCTAGACTAATGATTTAATTGTTGAACAGGTCTCAATTCTTCAGTTTTAAGAACTATTGGTTATTAAGTAAATTAAGGCTGTTAAGGAACTATATATTATGGTTGGAGGAACTGCATGCGATTAGATTACTATTCTATAAGCAAATAAATTGGGGATAATACAGATTCTGGGACATGGACTGGAAGGAGCTGGAGATAAACGTCGCTGTTAGTGCATTTTAAAAATAAAAATTATAATTAAAATGAAGACTTAATAAACTTATTTATCATTTGGAAAACTAGCTTAACATTTGTAATGAGTAAAAGAGAGAACAAATTAGTGAATAATAAAAGAAATTCATATTGAGTATAATAATTTTAACCAAAAAGGTGGATCAGATGAGATACCATATAAATAAAGATGAGAGAGTATCTCGGATTTTGAATATGGATACCATTATATAAACTAAATTACCTATAATTTTCATCTATTTATTTCCATTTTATAAGAAAAAAACCAAATACAGATACAACAATAACTTGAAATATTTAATTATTTCGGAATAATGTTGATAATAATAGTTCAATTATAAAATATATATATTTCAATATACATTAAATAAAAAAGAAATATATCTTAAAATTTTAAAGATTTACAGTAATATATAATTGTAAAATTATTTTAAGTTTAAATTTTGAAATGCTGATAGATTAATATTTTGTTCCTAAGATTACAATCAATATATTCTTGAAAGTATTTAAAATTTGCCCATTAGATTAATAAATAGTGAAAGATTGAGTTTAGAAATGTATTATGTTTATATTTTTTGAATTCTATTTTGATATCATCTAGAGTATAATGAAATTGTAAATATTTAATAATCATATGTCTACTTTAATTCTAGATGATTAAGTAGTTTTAAATAAAGAATTAGAGTTATTGATCATGGGAAAAGATTCCTTCTTAATATTAGACAATTTGAGTCTTCGATTGATGTAATTGTTTATCACCTTATGTTCTAAGAAACTACAATAAATAGTTTTTTTAGTTTTTCCAGGGGTGATTGGATCGTACTTGATTGGTTCATTATCATAGATTTCAGTTTTTATTAATCTATTGTGTTTTCTTGGAATAACTCTAACTTTTTCTTCTTCACTTTAATAAAGTTTAGTAAAACAATAACTACATAATGAAATAGTTTAATTTATGAAGACTGTATTATTTCTAAATTCTTAATATTCTTCTAAACTCATTCTCGGATACATTAATTTGATCACTCTTGGTATTAATTAAGTAGGATCTATTTTTATTAATTAAGCATGCAATCTATGAGATTTTGGAGATTAAACTTAAGATCGATGATCAGATCCAGATTCCCAATAATGAATCAATTCTTTTAATTTAACTTTTGAAAATTCTATTTAATTTTTTTCTTCATCACATACTATGCATTTAGAATTATCAGATAATGTTATTGCCTTTGGATAATTCAAAAGTTCTTTTGTTACTTTTTTAGTAATTGAAAAGTCAGCTTTGAATCAATAATATTTATTACGTAATGAAAATTTGGTGGGAACATTAGATGTTGATAAATTGGAACATATTATTAGATAGATTTATCCTTTTTTTGATAATTTAAATATCAATTCCATCAAGGTTATTTCTTTTTAATTTTAAGTAACATTTATAACATGAGACATGATTAATCCACATAATAATTCTAATCTTTGACAAAATTATGTTCCCTTTAAACTGAAAATCTTAGAAATTAAAATTATACGTTGATTATTCAACAGGACCATTTTAAGTTTCAAAAGTCACTGCTCTTTAATATATATCTGCTTTCTACATCATTATTGGATATTTATTTGTAAATACTTCAAAATAACATAAATTGTTTCCCCATGTACATTTTATAACTTCATTCTTCTCAGCTATATTTATAATTATATTAATCTACATTTTGGATATATGAATTTTTATAAATAACCCTCAGTTTCATAATTCATTTGAGATATTAATTAACATAGAAGATATTGAGATAGAAATTCGAATTCAGTTTAATTATCTTTCTTTGTAATCCAAACAGCACATATCTCATGATTATCATTCTTATCCTTAACAAAATCCTTTAAAATAGATTCCAAATTCAGTTTTGTTTTACTCTTTCTCATTATTTAAGAATCCACACTATAATACCAAAAATGAGGTTATCCTTAAAGAATTTGTATTGTGTCTGGAATATCTAACCGAATGTTGTTTTTGAAAATTGGATCTTAGAGCCATAACAAATGAATAAGATTAAAGTTGAAACCACATCCTTCTAGCTAAAACTTGTTAAAACTCATTATATTTAGTATTACAAAAATTAATTATCAAATACTTATTTTTCTTCAACCAAAGTCTCTTCATATTTATAATCAAGTATCTATTCCTCATTTGAAAACATCTCATCTTATTCTTACTCACATAAATTAGTTCCAATAATAATATTTGAGTTTTAAATTGTTCTATCATATTATCTATTTTATATAAAATATTAAAATACTCAGCATTGGGAAAACTTGAGAGTTGAATTGAATAATTATTTAATTATGTAACAAAATTGATCTATTAGAATGAAGTAAAGGTCTTAATTATTGAATTAGATTTGTAGATTTAATATGGTTCTTCTGAAAAGTTCTATTCTTCAGATATGCTATTCATTAATAATTATTATTTTTATTAATGAGTATCAAATTCAAAACTAAATGAAGAAATTCAATCAAATATTATTCTCAATCATCATCACTTGAACTTAGATATTCATCATTCTTTCTTTTTTCATGTTCTGTCATTGTTGGTGGAATCTAAACTAATGGAGATTTTTCTAAAGGAGATTTAGTAAATTAATTCTTAAATTATAATTATTATCTTCTTTGTTCATCTGATTATATTACTAAAAGCTTATCATCAACTCTTACATCCTTCTTTAAACTATCTTAAATCATTCTAATAATCAATTTTTGTATTGAATATTCTTTGTTGTTGTTATTAAGGTTGCACTATTTGTTTACTATTAGGAACACGATTAGGTTATATTTAGACTTCATTAACTTTTGGTAAACACTTTTCTATAAATCTAATAATTTCATTTATTTTTAGAATACCTCTCTAAATCTTAATTAAATATTTTAGATTCTTAGATTCCTAAATAATATTCATTAAAATCTAATTTAAAATGAAGGAATTTCAGCCTATCTTCTTTTTTAAGTTTTTCTAGTAAATCAAACATTTAATCATTATATCATTTCCTCGATTCTAATGAAGACTTTATGTTATCTTATTTTTTATTTTGATTTTATCTACTAATATTTTATTGTTTATTTAATATATTCTTCAATTATAATTGCTAATTATCAGTTTAAGATATTTAATCTTTGGCATAACTTAAGAGTAATTCTTGACAACTTTTAAATCTGAATATATAATCAAATAATTTAAATAACAACTTTTATGTTGATTCTCCTTTAGTATTTAAGAATGATCTATCTAATATATCAGATATGAATAATTCATGTATTTTTATTAAACCATCTAAATCTTATATTTTATCACATTCATCAATAAACTTTTTCCAAGATCTTTCTATTGCTTATAACATTAGATAACTATAGAAATTTTTAATAAAATGCTGCATTTCATTCATCATTTAATAATTTAATTGAATTGCTTTTTTTATAGTTTTGAATTAATTAGGAATTGCCATAAATTTTTAATGCATTCAACATTCAGTTAATGTAAATTCAACTCTTTTAATTCTCCATAAAAAATTGAATATTCTATAATATGATAACATAATTTTCTAATTAAAAATTGTATTCAAAGGTTCATCTATAGTATAATCTAAATAGAATATTTCCCATCCAGTATCATTTTAAGAAGGTTCAAGTAGTTTAACATTTAATCTAACCTCTTATGATATATGTTTAAATGCTGATTCTAAAATACTTAATAAAGTATGTCTATAACATTATTATGCTGGTTTATTTAATTATGTTTATAATAATTCCATTAAAGTATGAACAAACTCTCCTTAACCTAATAATAAAAATCTTTTAATTGCATTAAGAGTAATTTTAAAGTTTGATTTAATCAATTAAATTAATTATTTGTTATATTCCTTATTGACTTAACCAACAAAAAGTGAAAATTATTCTGTTCCTAGTAGATCAATAGTAATTAAATCATAATTTTAATTTAATTACGTAAATTTACATTATTTTCTAAGCCAATTGATAACTCTACCTGTATCAAATATTTTATAAGAATCATTCAAAGATATCATATAAAGTATTTTATTTTGATTAACTTTAAATTCATTCTTCCACAATTCTCCACTATCTCTTATTAATATTTTATTAGAATCATTTCTTTCTATAAAGAATTTTTATGCTTAATCATTTAAATATCCTTCAAAAATCCATTAATTTATAAATCTAACAATTGGAATAGTTGTTTAATGTAATATTCTAGAAAATAATTAAGATGTTTATGGACAACCATGTTTTGAATATCTACAGAGAATAGAAATCACTAATGAAGATGTAGTTCTTAATTAAATATTATTCAAAATTTAGGATAAAACTAAATTAATTTAAACTAAATGATGCATTGGCTATTTCAACCACATATACATTCTTCTTAATGTTAAGGTAGATTCTGCTAGAAGATTTTCAAAATATGCAATCAATCTGTAATATTCATTTAATTCTTCTTTAATTGATTTCTACAATGCTTACAATACTAAACTATTATAATTTAATTAAGTGAATGTTTATATTTTTTTGAACAACCATCCACATTCACACATAACATTAAGTAATTTCCTGCTAGCAGAACTAATGGCTAAATCTTTTTTCACATAAAATTAATCATTTATTGGATCATAAGATATGAATTAACTTTCAATACCTTATATGCTAAATATTAGATCTTTAATCAAATCTTTTCTGTAATAGATAGAGTTCTATTTCCTTTATCAGTTATTTATTGAATAATATTCATTCAATCATTATTTATAGGACTCTCTTCTATAATTTTCTTAGGTATAGTTTAGGAATAATTTATTTAAGAGATCTCTTATGATTTAAATAATGTGTCTAAAGTTTAATTAGTATAACTATTATTTTATCCTAATTAATCCTAATTAACTTGTACGAAAGAGGAAATGAATTAGTTCATTTTTTTTTAATCTCGTTTTGTTTAATCGATTGATACAATCTTGCAATCTATATGCTTATGATTTCTTTTGTTTAGATATGATATTACATTAGTCATTTTAGTCATTTCTGCTTGAAGTTCTGATTCATCCATCAATTATATACCTGTTCGTACATTCAAAATTCTTAAAAAATAGGTTTTATAGTTATTTAATGTACTATCTTCAATTGAATCTGGAAACACTTGTTTTACTAATTGATTTAATAGTATTTATGTCTCCATTAAATATTTAAATTGAAATTTTTGGTTGAGTTTATAAAATATTTTATAATTTAATCATTTTTTGATTAATATATAATATAGATTTTAGATATCAATTATTCAATTATTCCCATTTTACACATTTATTGTTTAACCATTATCCTATAGTCATGATTCCATTCTCTATTAATTTCGATTCCCCTTACAATTATCCATCTACCCAATTACTTTAAAACCTACATCCATCTGGCCATTTGAATAAACCTTCACCATTTTTCATATCATTTTTGTATTACTTTTAATTTATAATAGTTTTACACATTCAAATATATTTCCATTCTCAAATACAATCTATGCACTGCCTTCTTTTCTATTATTAATCCACTTACCAAACTTAATTATTATATTATTGTACCAATTAATTTCATTCCATTTGGATATATGTATACTCCTTCTCCTGAAAAACTATCCTTCTAAAAATGTCCTTCATATGATGATCCATTAGGAAATGTTATTTTTCCTTTACCATGTTTCTTTCCTTCTACAAATGTTCCTTCATACTCTGTTTTATCTGCAAATATCTCCTTACCAATTCCATGTTAAAATCCATTATGCCACTTTTCTTAAAATAATTGATTATTACCCAACCAATATATTAATCTCCATTCTTTCTAGTGTATATGCCCCAACCCTCTGCAAATCCATTCTCCATTTCTCCCTCATATGTATCACCTTCTGTAAATTCTACATTCTCATATTATTATAAGTTTTCAGTTGTACAATTTCCCATTTTATTATATATTTAAATGAATATTTTATAAGTTAATTATAATTAAATGAATTTCATCTCTTAATATTCTTTTCATTTCTCTCTAAATAATATTATTTAATAATGATACAATTTAGTAGACTATAATTAATATGATATTACTTATATGAAATATAAAAATTCTTTTTAAGTTTCATTAGTTAAATATAAGATAATATATTTTATAAAAGCCTATAAATTAAAAAAAGTCTTTATCCTTTTTTCTTATTTGGTATAATTTTATGTATAATTAAGTATATTTCATCTATTCTTATTGACTTATATATATTTCTTTGATGTAAAACTTTAGGTTTTCATCATATGAAATAAATTAAAAATGAAGAATAATAACAATATTTTATAAAATTAGATAATCCTCTGCAGATGATATTAATTCATGAAAATAACTACTTAATTGATTGATATCCTATAAAATCATATAGATTAATAATAATTAGATATCCAATTTCTGAAAAGATATAGTATTGCATAATTATAAACTTCTCAGAATTAGAATTCATAATGTATATATAAATATTTAAATTAAGATGAGATGGATTAGTAGAGTTATATATGTAAATGCATTAATGATGTAAGGTATATATAAAATTCAAAACTATTTTCCTTTTTCATTTTCATCATCTGAGAATCCTAGATCATTCATTAGTTCAGTCACACTTTTCTCTATGTCATCTATTCGCTTTCCTAATTAAATTGATTAGATTCATATTGATTACCCATATCATCAATTCTAGAAACAATGGTGCCTTACATTTCATCAAATCTATCTTACATTTGTTTAAGTAGTGTTTACACAAAGTTGTTTAATTCTTTTGTAGAGGGATCCTCTGATATTTATTAGCCTCTGTCGTTCATTTGAATTTATTAAAATATATATTATTAACTATAATTTAATATGAGAACATAAATAGAGTATTTTTCATGTTTGTTAGAATGTATTATAATAAAAAATGATTCATTTTTAATGAGAGTATGATAGTAATTTGTAAATAAATTGTTTTAATAATGTTGAGCGATAAATAGATTTAACCTATATGTACATACTCTATTTTTATTATAATATCTTGACATAAAACAAAAGAATTCTCTTAGTAAAAGTATATATGGTTTAATGTTATATCTAATTTAAATGATTGCGAGCATTTCAATCAAAAGAGACACTAAGATTATGATGTACTTAAGAAAATAATTGATAAAATAATCTATCATATAATGAAAACAAAGTTTTGGAACTCTTATAAAGAAGATATTAAGATAGGAGAGCTTTTGATCAAGTCAGAATTTTAGAAAAAGGGAAAGCTTCGATATTTAGGAGGGAGCGAGACAATGCTGATAATATATGAGGTTTCAATTAGAGTTTAAACTTAAGGACCCCCAATTCAAAAAGCCTAAAAAGTATACAATGATTGACTTTGATTTGAAATTTGAGATGGTGCGAACAGCTCCAAAGATGAAACCAGGATGTCAAGTAATAAAGCTTTCTGGAAGTGCTCGAGCTGATTAAGTGAAGAGCGAAAATATAGAGAAACTTGGAGAGACTACTGGGTTATGGATATTTCGAGATGAAGACCATAGGTATGAGTTGGTTGCTCATTCCATGATCCTAACATAATGGAGATGGTTCTTGGGGAAGCGAATCAATTAGTATGGGTTCCATCACTTGTTTAAGGTTTTTAAGAGAATAGGAAAGGGAAATTTTGCATCTGTTTATTTAGCAGAGAGAGTTGAGGATGGATAATAGATGGCTATTAAAGCATTTTCTAAAAGTGTGGCATATGCAGAAGAGAATGGAAAGGAAGGATTAATGAATGAAATTAAGTTGATGCGATAATTAGATCATTAAAATATCATTAAATTACATGAAGTTCATGAAACCTCGAATTCATTATATATTTGTTTGGAATTGTTGGAAGGTGGTCAATTATATGAGTAATTGAAAAAGAAAGTCATATTTTCAAATAAAGAGATCTTAACTATTATTAAAGGATTACTAGAAGGTACTATTTGATATATATTAGGTCTTAAACATATACACTCTAAGGATATTATGCATAGAGATATCAAATTAGAGAATATCTTATTTAAAAAGCCTAATCAAATAGAGTCTGTATGTCTGGCAGATTTTGGATTAGCTACCTATGTTCATGAAGAAGTTTATTTGTATTGTAGATGTGGCACTCCAGGGTATATAGTTAAATATATATATATAATAGATTTGTGGCTCCTGAAGTTATAAATATCAAAGATTTAACAACAAAATATGATAAAGTTTGTGATATCTATTCTTTGGGATTGGTTTTCCATTTACTATTGACTGGGAAACCAGCTTTCACTGGTCGTAGCTATACTACTATAGTGAATCAAAATAAGGAAGCTAAGATACAATGGAAATCATCAGCATTTGATATTATTCCAAAAGCAGCTTTGAATCTATTAAAAAGAATGTTGGAAGCAGATCCAAAATAAAGAATTACAGCAGAAGAGGCATTACAACATAATTATTTCAATCCTTATCATATACCTAATATTGCTTAATTTGAAGATGAAAATATTGATATTGATGATAGTTGTCAATTAGATTAAAGATTATAAAAGATTAATGATTTGAATAACAAATTTGATATGATGCGTATTAATCAACTTACTAATTCTCCAATTAAATCTCCTAATATTAGAGCTACATAAACTTAGGCAATGAAAGAATAAATGAAAGAAAGTGTTTAATTACAAGAATAAATGATTATGCATACTCCAGTTATTACTGGAAGAGTATAAAGTATTGATGGTAAATATTTACTTAAATTACATATAGATTCTCCTGGTGAAGGGTCAAAATAATAATAATAAATGAAAGAAGGATTATCTAAACATAAGAGATAAGAATCTTTAAATTTCCTTTAAAAATATAAATAATAATAATAATAACCAATTAATGATGAAGATTCATTACATTAATAAGAAGATTGTAGAGAACCTGCGATTTAATAAGTCAAATAGAGTTTAAGCAAAAATTTGTGATTTACGTTAAAACGGCTTATGATATATCTATTCTAATATTTAGATAGTATAAGATATTCTTTTCCTCTCTTTATATATAAATTATATTTAATATTTAAATGGACAATTAATTTGAACTTGAATAAGTCAATAGGTAATTAGATATAACTTATAAATAGTAAATCTGAAATTATTCTTGAGAAATGTCTTTCAATGATGCGTCCAGAAGGACTTGAATAATTTCATTTTAGAATAGAAGAATAATTTTATAAAGTCAAAGTAAAAAATGAATTAATTTAAATTGTAGTAAAATAAAGTACTATTGATTCATGAGAAAGAGGGAGATGATTTATAAACAATGATTTCATATTGGATTTAAGAACATTAATAAAGAAATGTAAGTATTATTAAAGAATAAAGAGAGATCTAATTATTCCATATTTTGTTGAGCATGAGAACTAAAATCATTATTATGCTATATATTACATTTTAACTAAATTAAGAGTATTTATATTGAATATATAGGCTGTTTTTAATATTACATAAAAAGTTGAATTAGAGAGTGAGAAATTGAAACAGTATTTTGAATATTGGTTGAATTTGTGTTCAAGAGAACTTGGCAATTAATTATATAATGATTGTAAAGTAGCATACAAACGAGTATATAATATAGTATTATTGAGGGTCATTATTGTAATACAAGGCATCGATAAATTTTATAGTGGTGGAGAAGTTCGTGTATCATCTTGGTTACCTAAAATACTACCTGATAATATTAAACTTATTGCATCAGCCAGATTTGGTAGTAAAGCCTATGAATATTATTAATCTATTGGAAATCCTATCATTCCTATGTAAAATATTCATTCTATGATTTTTAGTGAAAATGAAAGTACTGAAATTTTGAATCTAATAAGAATGAACAATCATTTACATAATGCACTTATGGTTGTTCCTGAATAACTACGTTGTCAATTGCATTTTCTTAAAATCTTTTATATTATCCTAAATAATCCTTTGGATGAATATGCATAATTAATTTCAGATGTATTATAATAGTCAGAAAGTATAATTTAAATTTCTCATTAAATTAATAGAATTTCAAACTGAAGTAGAATTCTTTACTATCCTGGTTAATTAATTTTGTCATTACAATACTATTGCTTCATCCATCTTTTGTGTTCTTTCTTATGTTAATAAAGGTATCTCAATTGATGAAGTGATGGCCAGTTGTTCATGTACTCAAGAACAATTTATCAAAGTTTATGATTTTTTCAAGGTATTTTAATCATTATTACTTAGATCTGTTTCCTAGAAAAGAATCTAGTCTATTCTATCTATATACTTACTATGAGATAGGCAATCTAATAAATCTAATTTACCAAAAACCTTTATGAGTAATATTTATAAATTATTGAACATTCAACAAATTCTACAAGAAAATTAGAAGAACTCATTTAATAATATACTAAAAATAAAAAGTACTTTAAACTCAAAGAAATAATTATTAATATTGAACATTTCCTTATTCTTTGGAATCCTTATAATAAATTTGAATTATGTTAATTATGGGATATGCTTGAATAAAATGGATATGATTTAGTTATGGAATATAATAAAGCAGTAGAGAATTTCTAAGCTATCTATAAACCTACAACAGAAGGATTATTCTTCATCATGTTATAGATTTGTATATTTCTAAGAGAATTCTCCAATTTTGAGAAGTACTATTCAATTCACTATTTTATAGAGAAGGCACTCCTGCTTATAAACATCCATTATTGAGAGGTTAATCAATAGAATTTGAAGAAGTAGGATTATATGGGGAGTTAAGTTAATTAAAAATGTTAGCTAAGAAGAAACCAAAGTAATAATTGAATGAAGATTATTTTCCAACTATAATGAGTAATGTTTAATTAGAGAATCTTAATTTAGATATTAAAAATAATAGAGATAGTTTTATTAATTATTATCAATCATAATTTGATTCAAACATTTTATAAGAATATTTACAAACTAAATAAGACTTTTTAAGAGAGAAATTATTATCTACTTCTAAAATTCCAAATCCATATTATTATAAGAGATGGTTATGGGTGTAATTTCCATGGTTAGCATTAACTTAAAAGAATAATTTCTCTAAACTTATGTAATTTTATGGAAAAGATTCTACTTAATATATGTCCATTTAGGAAGAAATATCAATCAATCAAAAGGCAATTAGATTAGTTATTAATGCTAAGAGTTCTAAGGATAAATCTATTAATAAATTACCAGAAATAAAACATCGTTATTATAGTCCTATGGTTAATAAGGATGAACCTATTAGAAGATTAAATCAATCTTTAGAAAAAAGTATAGATAGAGCAACATCAACAGGTAGAAGAGAATTGCCTGAGAATAAAAAGAAGGTGTTATATATTAAGAAATATAATTAATTATAGTATTAGAAGTAAGAATATTAATTAAGATTTTTAGTTAATAATTAAAGAATAAATTAAAGGAATTATAAACAGTTAAATAGAATTTATATCCTTAAGAGGCTACTATTGAAGCTTATAGATTGAATGATTTAACTAAGACTTAGGGAGATGAATTAAAGAAATAAATGGACAATTTGTAAGGAGTTTAAAATGAAATGAAAAGAATGTAAACAGTGTTAAAATTATGTTAATTTAATTAAGATTAAAATGAAGAGAGAGTATAGTAATTATTTAGACATTGTAAAAATTTGGATAGGATGATTAATGAATATAAATAAATAATAAAGGAATTGAATGAGAAATTAAGTGTATATAAATAAAAGAGTAAAATAGAACCTATTAAATAATAAAAATAACATATTTCAAAATAGTATATGACAATGAAAGATTTAGGTTAGATTAATTAAAAAAACATAAATACTAATGGTAATATTAGTTAGAATCATAATAGTGAATATAAGATAAAAGTTACATTTGATATGTAAGATCATAATAAGAATTTAAGACATTAAAATTCAATTAATAATAATTTATAATAATAGGATAAATTACGTGAAACTTAAACTAGATTGATGTTGGAATAAATGCCATCGAATAGAATGATTACTCCTGGATATAGATTATCATTGAAATTAAAAGGAGATAATAGTGATCAAATAGATTCACACATTCTAGAATAGATTAAACATCTTAATTTTTTAGGAATTGCTAATACTTATAATAATCCAACATTTGATGAATTTCTAAATCATTTAACAAAATAAAATGAATTAAATTTAGAAGTATAAGAATGTTCAATTAAATTAAATGAAGTAAGAATTAAGAAATAAGAAAAATAAACATTTTTGAAAGTAAGAAATATATTCTTATATTAATAGATATTATAAAAAAATGAGAAACCATAAGATATAAAAGCTGAATAATTCATATCATCTGATGATGTAGATAAATTAAGAAGAGCAAATGATGCTAAAACAATTACTTTAAAGAAATTAAAATAAAATAAGGCAGTGTATGACTTTTTCCGTAATAATATATATAAAGATGTTAATGCTTTCATTCCAATCAAAGATAATTTAACAATAACCTAAATATTTAGTGTGATTTTAACTAATTAATTTTCATTATAATCATGATTCGAAAAGTAACATAAATGGTGCCAAACATTCTAATGTATATTTCTATAGTAATAACTCTTTTGCTCTTCTTTCCAAAAATCTACCTAATATTATACGTTAAGATGGTTAATGTAATTTATGCATTCTATAAAAGAGATCTCTTTCAGATGCATCATAATTATGACTTCTAATAAGCATTAATTTTAATTCTATTTCTCTTACTTTCCATAAATCTTAATCCTTAAAATATTAAGCATCATTTTTAGCTAAATATTCATCTAATCCTTATAATAATTGAAATTCTTCACATATTACAGTAAATCTTTAAAATGACATGTATTATATAGAAGATTATTCTATATCACATTCAGTATTAAACATATTTATATAGTATTGTTCATCTTTCTTATTTTCAAGTTCAAGCATTAGTAATCTGAATTAATTCTAAGTTAATCTTTCACCTTCTTCTGCAAATATTTATAATATCATAGAATATTTAAGTAATAATTCTTAAATTTTGATATCTTACATAGGTCCTAAATGATGGGAGATCTCTTAATCATAATCAATATATTAAGGTAGTTTCTATAAACTCTTTATATGATCAGCTAATTAGGATTGTAGAACTGAGATTCCAGTGTCTTAGAAATTGATGTTTTATATGTTGCTCAAGATTTATAAGTAAATCAGGAAATTTAACTAATTAGTGTATAGATAAGATTAAGTACATCTCCGACCAACATAGCATGAAATAGTCTGGCTGAATCATTCTTTCTTTTATAATAGATTACTGATTTAATCACTCTTGCTACTTTACCTAACCAAACATTCTATGGTTATGATTAATTCTCACTAGAAAAATATTCATATAATTAGACATGCATAGGATAATTGAATTTATTAAACTTTAAACACCAAGATACAAAATTAGATAAAGTTTTTATTAATGTACTTTATGTAACAATATTTTCTATTTTATCTCTTCTAAATTATTAAATTTCTTATAATAATGTTTAAGTTGCAATTTATGTATTTTTACTTGGACATCTACTAACAAACAATTTCTTTTCTATTGAAAGTAGATTCTTTACAGGATTCAAACATTCAGATAAATCTACTTCTTCAGAAGAAGAACTAGATGAATCTTCAAATTTATTATCAGGAAAGACTTAGATAATATAAAATAGATACAATTTAATGTTATTTAGGGTTTTTGTGGTGAAAGCATTTCAGGAGGTTCTGGTGAATCACAACTCAATTCAATTAAAGAATTACGTTAAGGTATACTACTATCTTAAGGTTCTAAAGGAGTCATTGGGGGGAAGAATCCAAATGAATTTTTAGGATTTGCAGATATCAATAAATTTGGACTAGTACTTTAATGTTAAGGAGGTAAAAGTGAAGTTGAACTATTTATAAATACTTATTATGTTGGTGGATTTAAATTATTCAAATTATTAGTACTAGTAATCATAGCATTAGGAATAGGAGAAAATGCTTTTGGAAATTCTAAATGAATTTTATGTTTGTTTGCCTTACGACGTATTTAATCTAAATGATATTAAGGAATAAATCTGGAAATTTATTTAAATTGTTTTTCAATAAAATTATAATTCTTAACTTACTATTAGTATTTATTACTCAAGATATCTAATTTCTTTTAAACTTGATTCTTTTATCTAATAGCTTATTTACAATCAATTTAAGTTTCAAATATTTATATTTTACGAGCAATCAATTCATCCTTCAATTTATGAATGATGTCTTGAAAATGATTAGTTAAAAATACAAATACTGAATAAGAACTCTATACATATTTATCTACTTCAATAAAATCATCTGAATAGAATTCTTCTTTCATTTTCATTATATTAAATAATTGAGATGATCTAAATTTGAGTTTGTCTAGAATACTTTCAAAAACATCAGGAAATGTCTTCTTTTCAATTTCAACTCTCTCTATATATAATTGATAGTAATCATCAATAAATGCTTTAATTGGATATCGTGACATTTCTAAATAAGTTTATTCATCATTATTTCTTGGTATACACTCTCTTTTTATAATTGCATAATTTGCTTCACAAGCTTAATTTGTTGTTTAAGGTGGTAAAGTTTAAGTTCCTTATTCATAATTTTTTTTCTTTTAATAAATAGTTTAAACTGAACAATCTTAAGTTTAGATTAAACTATATATATTTATATATATATATATACTCTTTTGTATCTGATTATGAATCTATAAATTGTATATGATTACCAACACATTTATCTTTAAAGAGTATTTCTTCATATTCTTCCATTAAATTTTCATCTTTTTAAGCTTTATCATCATTTCCTCTTTCTAATTCTAACATTTTATTATGATATGCTTCTTCAAATTTACGAGTCTATTCTTCAAATACTAATTTAAAATCATCAAATATTTCTTTCTTTGCTTTATATAATTCTTCTTCATAATCAGCTGTTATATTTTCTGTAGTATGTCTTACTTATTAAAATAATTTAAATGTTTCGTTTTCTTTATTCAAATCCTATAATTGTAATTTTAACAATTCAATATCGTTATTAAGACTTGTAATTTATGTTAGAAATGTATTAGTTTTTTTACGTAGATATTTATTCTCTTTATTCAATTTTTCTACATATTCTGTATTACGTTTTAATTATTTTTCTGCTTCTTATAATCTTTATACCTTCTCTGTCATTGAATTTTAATATCTCTCATGAATCTTAATTGTATTAGCCAAACTCTCTTTTTCCAATTTACGATTTGTTCTAGATTATTTTTCTATAATCTCTTTCACAGTACTTGTAAATTGTGTCCATATCTTATCAATCAATTAAGAATAGTCATTGCATTTTACAGACAACTATTAACAAAGCTATCCTATTGAACCAGAATAAATCAACTCCATTTTATCATAGAACTCAGTTATACTAAAAAAATGCTGTTTTTGAATCTACTATACCATTGACTTAATAATTATCGAATTTACATACATCAGTCCATTATTATAATAATTACAAATCCTTTCTTTCACTCTATTCATTTGTAATCTTTTATAAGGTTCTATAAGTCTTATTACTTGTCCCAATATTTGCTCTGCTCATTAACTGATTCATTACAAAAATCTATTATTTCTTAATATTTATACAGTTCCATCTTCTCCTTATATTGTCTTATTGATCTACTAAACAGATGGTAACTTCACAGGAGATGAATACTCATCAGTCAATGTTTAAACCCTAATTTATTTCTCTCTTCTCATATTGTTATATATAATTTATATAATGACAAATTAAATATAAACTTCAATTCAACAATCAATATTTATATTGTATCTTATCAATATAATTCTAATCTTTTCAATTTCATATCATATCATTTATTTTATAATTGAAAGTTTTCATTATAAAATAGATATTAATGTATAATTTTGTATCTATATTTGCAAACTCATTATTAGAAGTCATAGAATAGGTATATAAAATGTACTTTTAGTAGTAATTAAATAAGTATTTATATATATTGTTAATTTTAGATCAAAAAGATATCATTAGAACAATTATTGGATTTATTTAATCTATAATCTTATTGATTTTAAGTATTATTAATAGAAATATTTGTTGTAGATATTCCTGGAATTAAGATTTAATAATAAATTCCTATCTTTTATTTCATTTGATAATCAATAAGTTAATAATTATTTGATATCATTTTATTCTAATATAATAATATAGCTTATAATTTATTATGAATATCTCTCTTCAAAAATATTAACAAATATAGATTATTATGATAATATAGAGATAATAAATTACCACATCATTATAAATAAAATACTATTGAAATTATATAAACTTTATATAGATTGTATTTATTCATCTGCTAATATTTCTAAGTGCTCTATCTATTCTTTATGACAATGAGAAAAGTTCATTAACATATCCTCTTGATAATTATTTTATCTCCTCTGGTTATGAACAATCCAATTATCTTGAGATTTCCAATAATTCAGATAATGGTACTGCTTGATCTAATCTTTTTGAAAATGAATGAGCTATTGTTTTACTATTATCTTTTGTATTAGATTAAGTAGAAGGTGATAAAAATTACCAACTTCCCAAATTTCCAAGTGATTAGTTCTTTCTTCTAAATGATGTTAACATATCATCATTCTAAGTATGAAATCTACTTGGATTATTACTTATAATTATAATACAATATATAATACCCATCTTAAATTCCAAATATTTTACTAGGTGATGCCAAATTTGGATTATGATCTTCCTTACTTTTATTCAAGATTGTATGATGAAATTTATTATCTGATTTATTATCTATTTATTCTACCCACTCTGTTGGATATCTATAATATTAAATACATAAACTTACCTTCTTAATTCTTTTTTATCACTACTATCTTTAAATGCAGAACTAGTTCGACTAGCTGTTGTAAATGCTTAAGATTAATTCAAAAAAGTGCTTCGTTTAATAATCTAAGATTTTTAGACACTTGATTACATTAAAATAAAATTTATTTCTTAATAAAACCTACTATTAATTATTTCTGCCTCAAATAATATAATATAAGTATATTAAATATATATAATATATAAATTTTTCATATAAAACTTAATATAAAGTATTGAATAATATGAAATTTATAATTTATAAGAGATTTGTTAAAATTATCATATATTATAAAAATATTAATAGTAAATTATTATTCCAGAATGATAAAATAAGATGTAATTTAGACAATTATTTAAGAAGGAATCAATTTGATGAAATAATTAGTAGGAGCATGCTTTGATGCTTCTTGCTATTGTGTTTCATAACCTGAAGCTGGAAGTATTTGGATCTCATATCTAGATGGGAGTTATTTTTTACATAATGGTTAAGTAGTGAGTTTGTTCTATCATCCTACAAGAAAACACACAGCCACAACAATTGGAAAATTAGGAAAAAAATAAAGTGTTGCTGATGCAGGCTAATGGGCATATTCTATTTAAACCAAAGGGGCTTATGGAAATAAAACATATTACAATATATTATGAAATAATATATATAAATTATACTTTAATACTTAAAGGGATAAAAAATAACTAAATTAGAAACTAATAATATATTATTTTAATAATCATCTGTTATTAGGATATAAAAGTATTATTATAAATATATTAATATTATCTTTGTTATTTTAAAAGATTGATTTCTTCTATTAATATATACAATATAATTAATGTAGATTGTCTGTTATTTAATATATATTAACACATGGATCATTATTATTTGCATTCTGGTTTTTCAGTCTTTTTATTTTCATTCTTATCACCTTTGCTACTACTAGACTTCTTTCTTTTCTAATAATATATAATTTTAAATAGAATACAGATTTTTTTTTATCATCTTCATCATCATCATCATCCTCATCATCTTCATCATCATTTTCTTCATCATCATCTAATTCAGCCATTTCTGGTTGTAATCCTAAGAACAATTCAATTGAACATGGTACAATAGAATCAAGAAATTCTGTTGCAATATCAAAATGTTCATTCATTAAATCTTCTTATTTTTCAACTTCTTCATCATCAAGATCTTTTTTATTTGTAAGATCAAAATCTTTAAAGAATCCAAAGAAACTAGGTGTATCAACTACTTTATCAACAGTTCTAGCTGCTCCAGTTTTTTTATTCTTTTATTTCTTTGATACTTTCTTTTAAGTAACATTCTTTCCTTCTTTCCATTCAATATGAGTAGATTCACTTTTTACTGGTGTCTCACCTGCTTTTTCAAATATAAATCTCTTTGTGAGAACAGTATTAGTAAAATAATCATTTGGTGCAAAAGTAAGTTTGATAGTGAAATTATGACTATTTTCTTCAAGATCTAATTCTACTTTTTAGAGTGATTTCAATACATCCCAATCTTTTTCATTATCTTAACATACATCAGCTAAAACATAATTAAAATATTTATTACCAATAACAACTGAATTTTTAAGTACTTTGAACCAATAGTCATCTATGGGTTCAGCTATATTATTCTCAGCTACAATAGCTTTTTCTGCTTCACTTAAAAATTTATCAGAATTGGAGAGTTCAATATCAGTGGCAGCTCTTTATCCAAGAATGAGTTCATTTTACTTTAAGAAGAAATAGAATTTAAATTCTTACCTTTTAATAAAGAGGGAGATTCAAGTGATCATATTCAATTGTGAGTTTCTAAACTTGTTCTTCTAACTCTTCTTCGTATTGTTGTTTGCGTTTTAAGTGATAAAAGAGTGCAACTGCTTTCACTCTTTCAGCTACAGGTAGGGTTTTAATCTTAGTAATGACTTCTTCAATATTTGAGTTTTCGTGATCACTCATTAAAATTTATAATGAATTAACAAATATATTTCAAATTCATACTGCAATATCTAGAGTTTAGCTCTAAATTTGATCAATAATAATATGAATTATCAATTATGTTAAAGAGAGGAACACTTGCTGCATAAACTATTATAAGTAAAATGTAAATAAGAAATTCTGAAAGAACTTCTAATATTTGTAGATTACCAATTGATTAAATTGCAGAATTTCAATAAAAAATGGTTAATAAAGATGGAGTCTATGTTGATTATAATGTATTATTTAAATCATTCAAATTTAGATTAAATTTTTGTTTTATTTGGGAGGCAATCAACTTGGTGATTGTCTAATAAATTTAGCATACTTTCTTAATGGTGAAATAGATTAAGATCAAAAAGTCAAAAAGCCATTAACATCTACAACTGACAAACGAGCTGCCTTATTGTTTAAAGTAATCAGATAACCTTAATAATCATAATTTGAATCTTAAGAATATCCTTAAGTTAATGTACCAATGCCTGTACCTACACATATTCTAATGTCTCAGTAAGTTCCATAGACTACTAGAAATTAAAATAGTCGTAAAATAGAATTGCCAACCAAAACAAATAGAGCAAGGAGTCAATCTCCACAATTCAATAATGTTGTTCTTGTTACAAAACCAGAAGAATAACCTATATCAATTAAATAATCATCAGATAATCTCACATAAAAATTCATGTAACTAGGTGAGAAATTTTCTTAACAAAAACTTTAATAAGTTGTTCCTCCTATTGAAGATAATGATAATTTCAAAGAAATCACTGAAATGCTTACTTAATAAGAAGAGGAATTGTAGAAATAGATTGAACAATTAGATAATCATATTAAAATTGATTCGAAATTGAGAAAAACAAATAATATTGATAATAATAATAACACAGCAAACTTTGCAAACGTAAACAGTAATAATTAAGAACTTTAATAATTGAAGCAAAAATATACTGAACTAGATGATAAATATAATAAAGCTTTAGAAGAAAACTCACACTTAAAGAGAATCATTAGATAAAGTGGTGAGTAATTAAAGAAATAAAACTAACTTTCATAATCAGGATATAAATAACTTACTGATAATGTTCTAAATTAATCTTCAGTTTCTAATTAGGAATAATTTGAAAGAACTATAGAAAAAAAGAATTAGATCATTAAAGATTTATCAAATTAATTATTAGAATTAGAAAAGAATTCTAAGGCTACTGTTATTGAATAATTACGTAATTAGATAGCTAGATTAGAATAATAAACAATAGAAAAAGAAGAATAATGGTAGATCTAAGAAAAAATATATAAAGAAAAGATTTTTCAATTGTTCTAAAATACAGAATGAATCTATTAAGAACTTTATTTATTTGTTAAATATAATATTGTATATCTTATTTAGATATTATTTATATAATACATTTTTCTCATATTTTGAATTATACAATAAATATCATTAATTATATTCATAATAGTTTTCATCATAAAATTAACTTTATTATTAGAAATAATATTAATTAAATGAGAGTTAATGATAATTTATGTTAATTCAATCAATTGAATAAATTTATATTGAAAATGTTAATAATATTAATTATATATTTATATCTCTAATAAATATATAATTAAAATTATATTAAATGTAATGTATGATGTCATAAATTTGTTAAATATAAATGAGAATAAAATCAAAATTCGTTATTGTAAGCACAACTTAAATAAGAATATGGATCTTAATAATAAGTTTGTGCATATTCATCAGTGGGAACTTCACAACTTGAATATTCTTCTTTAATGGACTCCTCTTTTACTTCATCTTTTTTAGAGAGACTCAAAAATCTATCATATGGTTATTCTTTCTATAACTATTCTTTGAGTTGTTCAATAGCTTATATGTACATCTATTTTGTTGTCTAATCTTTTATCTTGTTATTTATAAGCACACAAACTTCAGCTTATGTACCTAAGAATTCTATCCATTTGTGTTATGTTTCCAACTGAATTATCTTTGTTCTAGGATTGATGGCTCCAAATAGTTTTTTCAAGTCTCCTAATTCAAATTTTTATTGTTTTGAAGTCTTCTTCTTATGAATAGCTCTCAAATATCCATCAACTTATTTATATCCCATTTCTTCAGCCCAATGCATGAATTGATTCATAAAGAATGGCACAATTCTACGTTGGAAATTGTGTTATTTCTTAATTGAGTATGGTACTTCAGATTATTATTCTTAAGGTTTAATAGTAAGATGAGCATTAATAATTTCTAAGAGATGTTCATCAATTTGCATAATAACTTTGCCATTGCATTTTTTAAGAATCTAAGATTATATAGAAAGAATACTTAATATGTATATGTGTCTTACATTTTATTTGTATTAATAATTTGCAACATTTGATAATTACAATTCATATTGGTTTTATAATACAAATTTCAACAAATATTGTGGAATATTCATTATAAATAAGTTTAATTATTTCTTTGTATTATTAAAACTTAATTAACTTCACTAAAATCTACATACAAAAACTTCTACTATTTCCAACTATCATTACTCAAATTTTATTGTACATCCAATCAAATAACTTATTTAAAGCATAATTTCAGATTTATCAACCATTAATATTTTGATCATAATATTTATCAAAATCTTATGTAAATAAAGAGAAAACATATTTTCCTTTATAATTTTCATGGTATTCAATCTGTATCTAAGTATCTAATAAGGTTTCTAGTTCTTAAAAGATTAGATTGCATTCTTTTAATCAACTGATAAAATTAATTAATATAATAATGATTCATAAATTATTTATATAGTTAGTTACATTAGTAATAGATATATTGTAAATATAAATAGATTAGTTTATTATTTACATTATTTTAATGAGATTATACTATTAATATTTTGATGATCAAGTAATAAGACATATGAATTTATATATTAATAATTAATTGAATGAATAAAACTTTTCAATAAAATTTCTTAGCAAATCAAGTGGCTATCGTAACAGGTGGTGCTACAGGAATTTGTTATGGAATAAGTTTAGCATATTTAAAATATGGATGCAAAGTTCTTATCACTAGTAGAAAAGAGGAAGTCTTAAAATAATCATGCATTACATTAGCATAGGAATCAGGCAATAATAATATTGCATATTTTCCTTGTGATGTTAGAAAATTTGAATAAGTGGAAGCAATGGTTTAATTTGCATTAGAAAAATGGGGAAGAATAGATATTTTAGTCAATGGTGCAGCTGGAAATTTTTTAGTTCCTTTCGAAATGATGAGTGTAAATGCTTTTAGATCTGTAATGGAAATAGACACATTTGGTACATTCCATGTAATTCTTATATATATTTATATAGTGTTGTAAAGCAGTTGTTGCTAAATGGATGTCAAAAAATGGAGGTGTTATTATTAATATTAGTACTACTCTTCCACATTGTGGAGTAGCACTTCAATCACATGCTGGAACAGCCAAAGCAGGAATAGATGCTCTTACTAGACATCTAGCTGTAGAATTGGGACCAAAGAAAATTAGAGTTGTAGGTATTGCACCAGGAGCTATAGAAAAATCTGAAGGTTTTAAAAGATTAAGAATGGATGATAGTGTAATAAATATTATTAGTATAGTCTGGTTTTGGAGAAGATTTTGAAAAACTATTACCATTATAAAGAG